TCCTCCTCCTCCTTCCTCCTCCTCCTCCTTCCTCCTCCTCCTCTTCTTCTTCTTCCTCCTCTTCTTCCTCTCCTCCTTCTCCTCCTCCTCCTCCTCTTCTTCTTCTTCATTTTTTCCACATTTTTAATTACTGCATAATAGTTAAACATATTGGTGGGATTTGTGGTTACATATTCTTACATGCACACAATATAACACTATACTTTGGCCAATATCACTCCCTAGCACTTCCCCTCTCCCTCCCTGCCTCCCACTCCTTGGTCCCTTTCCTCTTCTAATCTCTTTGATTTTAAGGAGATCCACCTTCAACTTTGTTTTTCCATCTTTTGAGTAGTGGAAGTCCTTTTCAGTTGGTTGCAGGATCCTTTTACACAACCCTATTAGTCTTTGGTGACTTCTTTGTTTTCTGGAAAAACTAAATATTCCAGAAACTTGTACATTTCTGCCTCAGATTTGGAACCAGTGATTTTCTTTACAGAGTCCTGGTTTCTTGTAGAGAGGAAAAATGTTTGGAGGTTACCTCCTGGGTACCAGGGGTGCACTTTATTATCAAACCTAGAAATAGTATGTCACATCCAAGATGGAGAGAACAAATAGAACTAGAAAGTAATGAGTTCTATTGATAGTTCCAATTCAGTTTTCAGAATTCAGAAAAATTTTTTACCATCTTTGATTTATATTTTTATTTCTTTTTTTTCTTATTCTAGTTTACACATAAAAATAATTTACACATAAATAAATGTTTTAAAACAACATGCCAAAATTACTTAGTAACAATAACTATTGAGTTCAAGATCTTTTTGTTGGTTTGCTTAAATTTGTATTCCTCACGGTAAATTCCATTATTCAAAATACTGTGTTTTAAAGTTACATAAAAGAATTTTTGTGGGGATATGCTATCCACTTGATATACTACGTTAAAACTACAAAACAAGGCATATTTAAAGAAACCTAGCTTCCCTCTGTCTTCTTTACCCTGTTTCTCCTTATAAGTAGCCATGTATGTTATTTGGTTTTCTTTCCATTCGGTCTTTTTGAAAATAGAAATAAATACATAAAACTATTTACCTTTTTGTATTACCCTAAAAGCAGAGTAATATAAACACAATTCCCACTTAGATTTCTCCCATTTAATATTTCCTGGCCATCAGTCCATAGTGTTATGTAGAGATACTTCCTATTTCTTTGTATAGCAATAATTTCCCAATGTGTGGATGCCATAGTTTATTCAATCTATTCTCTACAGATGGACATCTTACTCCCTAGTCTTTTTTTATTTTTATTTTTTGTAGTTGGACAGCATGCCTTTATTTTATTTGTTTATTTTTTAAATGTGGTGTTAAAGGATCAAACCCAGTGCCTCATAAATGCAAGGCAAGCACTCTGCCACTGAGATACAGCCCCGGCCCACTCCATAGTCTTACTCATAAGCAGAAAAGCATCTGAAGAAAATCTTTAACAAGGGAAACAAAACAAAAACATAAACAGTAAAAGGATCCTGAAGCATAAAGCCTTTGCAGCAGGCAAAACCAAAAAATCCACCATTAAGAGTTGCAGGGATTATGTGCATAATCATAAAAAAGAAAATGGGATACTCCAAAAAAGGAAGAATTCAAAAAGAATTCTTGGAAAAAGTAAAAGTTTGATATAAAAAAGACTTGTAATATAAAATTGAGGAAATTTCCCAGAAACTAATTCAAATAAAACTTTTTAAAAAGATGGAAACTAGCATTGATTTGAAGATTAAGGGACACTATCACAGAGACCAATATTGGAAGTCTCATATCTAAATAATATTTCAAAAAAGAAAACAAGAAAAATAAAGGAGAAAAAACCAATTAACAAAATAGTTTAAGATCATATTTCCCAGATTGAAGAGTTTGAGTGTTAAGACAAAGAACCCACGGGGTACCAAGTAGAACGCACAAATACACCAATATCCAAGCACATCATGTGTCATTTCAAAACATTGAGGAGAAAAAGAAGATTCTTCCGTCTTTGAAAGATTAAAACAAAAAGAGGTCCAATGAAGACTGGTGATGGAATGTATTTGGAATTCTCAACAACAGTCCTGGAATTTAGAGCTCACTGGATCAAGAGCTTCAAAATTCTGAAGGAAAATGATTTCCATCCTAGAACTTCATACCTAGACAAACTAATATATCAAGGGTGGAGGTTTTCATATAGGAAAACAATCTCAAAAAATTTACTTGATGTATAACATGGGGAGAAAGGCTTCCAACAACAAATAGTAAGCAAACGTGATATTTAAAATAATCAGCTCAAAGACATAAAAGTGACTGCTTCTGGGAGAGTCAGGTGAGAGCGAGGGCACTGCTCTGTTAACTGTACCAATGTATAATTGTGATAAAAATGAAAAAATAAAAGAAGAAGAATGAACAAATTTAAAAGGAAGGCACAGCCAACAGGGGCGATGGCTCAGTGGTTGAGCGCAGGCCTAATAAATGCAAAGGTCCTGGGTTCCATTTCTGACCTCGTGAAACAAAACAAAACTCAGCACCCCGATATGACTGTTTCGAGTACAGTGGTGAAAGATACGAGAAGGGAAAGTGTGACAAGCTCCTGAGATGCTTAAAAAGCCCCAGCCAGGGTAGTGGCACTTCTTCACCACGACTGACTGGCCAATCCCTCCTCGCCTGGCCCTCCTGACGTCAGAGGCTGGCTAGGCCTTCTGGATCTGGAGACTCAAGGCAGCTGCCAGGGAAATGGCAGTACTAAGCGAGGGGGCGTGGGTCTTCTCCATGTCAGCCAGCCTTTCCTCGCTGTGATCAAAACATCAGACAAGAACAACTTGGAGGAGGAAAAGTTTATTTTGGGCTTGCGGTTTCAGTCCACGGTGAAGGGACTCCACTGCTCTGGACCGAGGTGAGGAGAAACATGGCGGAAGAACGTGGTGGAGGCTCGCAGTTGGGCTCACCGCAGCCTGGAAACAGAGAGTGAGCGAGAGCTGAGGGACAAGAGAAAGGAATCCCAGAGGCAGCCCCCAGCCACCTACATCCTTCAGCCATGCCCCACCTGCGTCCAGCCACCACCCAGTATCCGTCCTAATTCTTAATCCATCAAAGGAATGAATCCACTGGAGAGGCTACAGCTCTCATCATCTAGTCGTTTCACCCGTGAACATTCCAGAATTGTCTAACATGATTTTTTTTTTTTTTTTTTGGTGGTGGGTGGTGGGGGTGGTGGTGGTGCACCTCATATCCAAACCATAATACTAACGGAACTGGGCGATGTTGGGCCATGGATCCCAAGAAGGGCATGTAAAGACCCCTGGAAGTTGAAGGACCATCGACGTCTGGTAAATAGCCAGCAGCCTGGACCATTTGGAAGTTGGCAGTGGTTCCCAAGCCTTGCTACCTGTCATAATCACCTGGGCAGCTTTGAAAACCCGGCTGCCCCTGACATACCCCCTACCAATTAAATCAGGCTGCTTGGGAGTAGGACTCCGATATCATGATTTTTTAAAAGTTCCCGAAGATTCGGAACCATGGGAGTTTCGTGTTCGTACAAGGAGGTCGGTGGGAAGGGTAGGATGAAACTGAGTCTCAATTGCTGGGTTACTCATGGAGTCTCTAGCTGGCAACCGGGTGCCACTGGAGGCCTTTGAACGGGAAGTGATGCAATGTATTTGAGGAAGGTGAAGGCACAGGCGACATGGGAGGCGGTAGATTCTAGAATCAAGGAGACCACTAGATGAGACTGGGAGACCACATCTAGACCTCACAGGAAAGCACGTGGGGTGGGTGTCTCAGGCGCGTCGCTGCGTTAGGAAGGCCTCTCTGCCTCTTTTTAAAAACAACACCGCTCCTCTGGCTGAAGCTCCGTGGTCTCCTCCTCCCCCAAGAGGGGCGCCTGGTGTGGTGGGCTCCCCAGAAGGACGTGAGGGCCACCAGGAGGCGGTGTAGGCCGCGGCCTCGCCCAGGGCAGAGAGCTTCCCTCTCTGGTTGGGTGGGATCCCTGTCCCAGAGAAGCTGTGAAGGCCCAACTGAGTGGAGGGTGGAAGTGGGTGTGTTGCCCAGAATCGTTGGGGGATGTGACAGCCTGGGGTGGCCCTAACTGTCCCCCAACTCTTTGGGTCTTCATTGTCTTTCCAGGAGGTAGGGGAAGTAGACCAAGACCTCGCTTGGTTCCTTGCCTGTTGCGGCCCGCGGGGAGCGGTGGACTCGACATGAACACTGCCGTGAGCGTCAAGAAGCCCGGGGCCCCGCTGCCCGCCCCACTCCAGAACCCCCAGCGCCCCCAGAGTGGAGGGGCGAGCACACAGTGAGTATCAGCGTTCGCCCATGGCTGAGGTGGCCGGAAGTGGGCGCCTGGGCCGCTTAGGGCTGGAGGGAGACCGAGGGAAGGAGGGACGCCACGGAGGCCGTTAGCGACCACGCTGGGCCTCCCGACCACGGAGAGGAGCGAGTTGGCTGACGGCCGAGGCTGGGGCAGGAGTGTGCGCCCCGTCCCTCGAGGCAACGGGCGCGAAGCACTCGTTTTTCAAAGGCGGCCGAGAGCCACCCCATTGGAGCCCTCACATGCATGATGTGAGACACCGAAACGCCCCTTTTGAACACGATGACAAACACCCCCTCCCACCCAGCGGCGACGTGCACGTGACAGTTTTCGGGCTCTCGCAACTACGTGGAAACTTGGCCTCGGTCTGGTCTGCGGCTGCATTCCGCCCGGGCGCCGGGGTCCCGGCGCCCCCGCTCTGTTCAACACGGCGGGGGAACCGAGCCGCAGGGAGCAGGGGCCCCCGCGGGCGGCCGCTGCCCCGCGCCGCCCCTGCCCCGCGCTACGGCGCCCGGAGCTTCCTGGCTTCCGCACCGCCCGCCGCGCGCGCCCCCCGGGCAGCGGCTCCCGAGGCGGCGGCGGTCCTGGCGCTGTCCCTCCGGCCCCAGCCATGTGGGACCCGCGGGCAGCTAGGTGCGTAGCGGCGCTGGGAGCGCGGGGCGCCTCTGGCCTTCTGGGCCCGCGCCCCTGCCTGGCGGGAAACGGCTGCGCGGGGGCCGGCGACCCCCGAGGCGGCGGCGCAGCAGGCCTGGCGAGCCATCCCCGGGAGGCCGCAGCGGTCCAGACACTGACCTGGGCCTGTCGCGCGTGGGCGGGCGTGGGGACGGCTCCGGCCTTCCACCCCGGGGGACTAGGGCACGCGCTGCGACAGGACTGCGGCGGCGCGCGGCCTGCCTGGATCCCACCGGGACCTCGAACCTGCCGCCCTCGGCCCACTTCCCCTCCTCCGAGACCCCGGCCCGCTGGCGTAGTCCCCGCGGACGCACCCCCGGGGCACGCACTGGGGAAGGCTGGCTCTCGGGCGCGGGGTTCGGCGGGGCATGGAACGGCGCCAGGCTGGAAGGGCGGGATTCGCGGGGAACTTAGAGAGCGCTGGCCTCTTCCCGGCAGAAGGAGGCCTCCTTCCCTGCCCATCCGGATGGGCTTGCCTGAATGGGGCCGCATGGCCCACCTTCCTCCCCTGACCGAGTAACGGGGCAGGGTGGCAGCCGGGGGCCCAAGACAGAGCACCAGAGTCCTCAGAAGCCCAAGCTTCTGCTTCCGAGAGTTTCCCAGCGTGTGCTCGGACCCTGTTGCTTTGGAAGAGCTCTCTGCTCTGCTCACTTCCCCAACCCTAGTCCCGCGCTCATGCCAGCAGGGAGCCCTCAGCCCCACTGAGATGGACTTGCTGTGCTGGCCACCGTTTCTTCAACTTGGGGGCGTTTCTGGCCTGATGCAAGCTTTGGTGTTTCCTAGGGAAATTTTTTAGGGAGGTGTGCAACTTGAAAAAAAAAAATCGAAGAGAAAGAAAAAGGAGGTTCTGAGGTCTCCAGTGTCCCTATCTGTCCCCAGCCCAGTTGCTGTTGGCCCAGTTGCCCTGCAGCGGGCAAGCTTGGACCCAAGTACTGATGTTCTCTCCTGCTGCTTAATGCTGAGCCTTCTTGTGCCAGGAATCTTTTTGAGGCAAGGCTGTTACCCTGATGGTGTCTTTTGTTGAACATCTTTGGTGCTTTCTAGAAAGTATCATATTGGGGGGCGGGTTTGGCGGCGGGTGTCAGAAGTTTGTTTCAATTGTGTTTAGTCAAGTCTGTTTTGTAGGATTGTAGGATGGATTCTTGAGTCCGAAATACCCTTTGCAGGCTTTTGCATCCTCTACAGGGGATAAAGGTGGGATGGGTGTATGTGGCAAGTGCTCCCAGAGTAGAATCTCCCTGCTACTGAGGGTTTTCAGTCTGTTTTTTTTTTTTTTTTGGATCAAGACCCACAATAGAGATTCTCACACCCATGTACATAGAGGTTTATAAAACTGCATCAAGATCTTCTTTTGGTCGACCCTTGTTTTCTACAAGGTGAGACACACTAATTCTATTCTGTTGGACATAATGTATTTTAAAAAGCTAATCATAATTCATTAACTTGATTTTATGACCGACTAACCAGTTTTAGTTGACAACTGCAGAGCTACAGATGCTTTTGGTTACTCTGGTTCTGGCTGTCTATTCACAGGGAGCCCAGTGGGGCATTGTGAGAGTGCTGGGAAGGTGGGTGCATAATGATTCCTTTTTTTTTTTTTTTTGTCATATTTTGGAAAGAAGAAGAAAGGAGAGTGCTTCAAGACTGCAGTAGACTTTGGATCTAAAGCTTTCAAAGGGGATTCTTTAAGTCTTTCCTTAGAATTTCACAGCTGCAGTGTCAAGAACTGAGCCTTAATTATTTCATAGAGGAAGCATTTGCACCCCAGGAAGACCATGGCTTGTCATTAGCTGCTAGAGTAGTGGATATAGTATTAGACATCTGCTTTCTTGACTTCCCTGCCCATGACAAATACAGAATTTGTCCTCTGGCATTTTTAAACTTTCCTTTACAACTTGGTACTGTTTTTCTGTGGTTGCTACCAAAGGCCCATTCTGTGGTGTATACCCTCTTATTTTATCTTTGCTTCTTGGAATGAAGATTCTTTCAGCAGCAAAGAAGAGTCTACAGGTCCAATGTCTGCGACATTTTTGAGAACTGAAGTGGAGGTTGGAGTGTGGGCATCTGGCCATTGTTTTTAATGACCTTGAGGAATGAACCCTCCTTTGCTTTTCCAGATGGGCAAGTGAAGCTAACAAGTCAGAGCTTTGCCCTCAGAATGACTGCAGCTCACTGGTTTTGGAGCAAGTTTCCTTGGAGTGCAGCCTGAGGTTTTCAAGGCCAAACTTCATTACAAGAAATCTTTTCAAGGAAGAGGAGTTTGGGGGAAATGAACTTTCATCTTAGCAAAGATGACACTAAGTTACAGCAAAGTTCTGTGCTGGGGGCAAGTGGTAGGATGAATTTAACATTTTTTTTTAAAAAGCATTAAAGCAGATAAAAGTCATTTTGGGAACTCAAAAATGTCATAGTGTTGAAACCAACAGCAGTATGGTTTTCTTTTTTGGTTGTTCATTCTTCCCGACCAGACATTTTTCTTGGTCTCAGGTTGTATAAGCAAATTGCCTTATTTCTTTGGAAATAAAATATGAAAATATGGAAGAGTGAATGAATTGGGTAAGTGAATGATACTCTGGACTCAGTTAACCTGAATCAATCCCATTTATTACCTGGATGTTGACTCTTAATGCCCATGCTGCAGTCACCATAGCATGCCTGTCTAAGCGCCCACGAGCCTGGTGAGCTGATGGTACCCCCTGTATGTCTTTTGGAACCAAGCCAAATCTAAATTTAGCTTTATCTGTCTTCAAAGTTCTAGTGATATTATTTGGATTGGGATGTTTTATTTAGTTAATTTTTCTGTGCTGGGGTTTGAACCTAGGGCCTTGTGCATGGTAGGTAAGCACTTTCCTTTGAGTTACATTCCCAGCCCAAATGTTTTTATTTTCTAAGCACTGGGTCTTTCTATCAATGGGATAACACTTGAAAAGGGTCAGGGTTGCTAGCCCTGGAAAAACAGTGATGATATTTTAGAGGAGACAAGGCCAGTGTAGAAAATATGAATAATTATAGCACCCATACTGGGCTTTTTTTTTTTCCAGTACAAGTGATTGAACGGTAGGATCTTACGCATGCTAGACAAGTGCTCTACCACTGAGCTACATCCCCAGACCCCTTTTAAATTTTTTTATTTTGAGACAGTGTTTCTAAATTGTTCAGGCTGACCTTGAACTTGTGATCCTCCTGCCTCAGTTTACTGAGAAGCTGGGATTACAGATAAGCACCACTGTGCCCAGCTCATCCTGGTCAATCTTGATTCATTGTGACAAGAATGCTTAGATAGCAGCCTTGAACTGGGATGGACTTATCTTTCATGTCCAGCTGTGGCTTCCTGGGCAATCTCATTTGGTTGAGCCGGGGCCATGTCATTCTTTATCAGAGTCTACTGTACCTGGGAGCCTCCAAACTTGGTGACTTCTAGGGGTCATCTCATTCATCCTGAACACTCTGTTCAGATACTAAGGATACTCATGAGCTAACCTCCAGAATTTCTGATGTGCTCTTTCTCCTTATCTATTCTCACCTCTTTTTTTGTTTTTCATTTTTTCAGGTCAATTTTGCTCCTTAGATATATCTGAGGGCATTGTATGAGGCTAAAGAAGGGTATAAACATAAAACAGACCTGCTAATGATGATGAAACAGAGTTAATGTCAGGAAGACCTGTGAGAATGGGTTAGTGAAAATGTAGGCAAGCGCTTGGGGTTTCTAGGTCCTGAATGCATCTCAGGAGGAAATATGGGAGGTCAATTTAGAGCTGTACCTAAACAAGATGAAGAGAACTTCAAGCAGGTGGAATGAGGTCGAGAGAGAGAGAGAGAGAGAGAGAGAGAGAGAGAGAGAGAGAGAGAAACATTTTACAAAAAAGAAATTATATTCCAAATACCAATGTAATCATAATAGTTTATCCTGTACCAGGCTCTATATAAAGTGTACTTCATATATTATTTAATTTCCATAGAAGTATTGTGAGTAATCCTCATTTTACATCTCTACCTACACAGAATATGAGCTTCATGAGGGAAGTAGTGGTTTTCTGTCAGTCTTATTCACATATTCTAAGCATCCAGCAGAGTGCCTAGAACACAGTAGACAATCATTTAACACTTATTGATTGACTGAGAAAATGTAGAGTCCAGGTCCAAGTCATGTAAGGCAATACTGTTTCTGTTTCTAGTAAATAAAACTGAGGCCTGGAGTTAAGTGAATTTTGCTGCCTGACATCAGGCCTGAAAGAGGTGAAAGTGGGACTTGAACTCAGATTTCTAGGCTTTTTGTTCTGTGAGGAGGATACTGAGTTCTTATGTCATCCTCTGGTGCTAGCCCCAGCCCTATTACATTGCATTGCAAAGACCTTTAAGTTGGAGGGAGCCGGGTGAATTTGGAGTCATATGAATATAACACAGCAAGAATAGTGTTGGAGAATGTTGGGAAGGTAAGGTAAGTGTTGTGTATGGAAATCTGAGCTATTTGGGCATTATTCTAAACGAGGTTAGAAGCCATGGAGTGTGTGTGTGTGTGTGTGTGTGTGTGTGTGTGTGTGTGTGCGCGCGTGTCTGTGTTTTATTTATAAGGTTAACTCTGGAGAGTGGGAGTGTGGATGAATCAACCTGGCCAAAGTCTACACATTTTTCAAGGCCAAATCAAGGCCCTGTTTTTCAGGAAATTGTCAACACACACGTTTTCATTAAAGAACTTTTGAGAAATGCATCCTTAGGTGACTTCATTATTGTGTGAACATCATAGAGTGTATGTACACACACTGGGAGGGCTGGGAGGTCACTGAATGATGTAGTTTAACGGGATCACCCTCATATCTGCAGTCTGTTCTTAACCAAAACATTGTTATGGGGTGCATGACTGTGTTACAGAGAGACTAGGGGAGGAATCTGGAGGAGGGAATGACTGGACTGCTATTATTCATAACTCAGGATCTCCTTTGAATGAGAAAGCACCTTTGTTC